ACCAGGAGCAGGAGCAGTCCTATATCGGGATCAGGAAAACACACACACAAAAAAAGAAGGTGAAGAAACCAGGAACGGTCTTGGTTATGGGAATCAGCAACGATCCCATATCGGCACCAGGAGGGGTCCCGCATATCGCTGCATGGACCCGTCGCAATAAAAAGGACGTTGAAAAAAAAAAAAAAAGGACCTCACCTTTGGTTGCACAGTTATGCTTGCTGCATCTCTTGAGGCGAGTCTTCTCATGACAGCGTATCTTTGATGTGAATGAATCGACAAGTTCTCCTGCAAAAAAAAAAAAAAAAAAAAAAAAGGGATGAAAGGTGGGAAGGGTAGGAAAACAAACCCCATAACATGAAGAAAGTTCAACAAACAAAAAAAGCGAAATGAAACAAAAAAAAAAAGACTTTCTGCATAAAGTTAATCGTACGTAAAATGCAAAACAATTTAACAAAAAAACTTTCCCCATAAAGTTATTAGTACTTATCAAGTTATTACACAAGCTAAAATAGGAAAAGTTAACGAGTGATGAAGTTGATACACAAAGTGATTTAGCAGAAGCAGGAAGTGACTGCCGCACGCTAAAATAGGAAAAGTTATGTTGCAGGACAGTCCTGCTGGACAACATCCGCTAAACCACCAGTACACCTGGGCACAGCCTTGCACAAATATGTTCGTTGCCTACCCCGAAAAAATCATGGCTCGGACGTACCGGAACACAATGTGTGGCGGCTCCATCCCAAAGAAGGAAAAAGGTGTGCCGCTGGCGGTTCCGGAAAGCAAGGCATGCAGTGCAGCGCAGAGCCTCCAGGCTCGGGTGTGCTGGTGGTTGAAATTGGGAACAAAAGAGAGAACATAGCATGGCGCCTGCACAAGGATGACACGCATTGATCGAGAAATGCTCCGATTTTGTTTTCAAAACAGGTATGTTGCAGGACCAAGGAATCACAAATGTGAGGGCAAACAAACAAAAAAAATAAATCAATGCAAAGCAGATAGAAATGTGGCTCATTGGACTCATGACTCAGTACACCCACAAAGCGTCAACATTGCAGTATCGAGTCAGAGTCTGGTGAACTGTAACTTCCCAAATACAACCAAGTCTCCTCTCTCTCTCTCTCTCTCTCTCTCTCTCTCTCTCTCTCTCTCTCTCTCTCTCTCTCTCTCTCTCTCTCTCTCTCTCAGTTGGATGTTTGAGTGAGCACCTTTAAGATGTGCCAAATAGTAGGTGGTCCGTTGTTTGGAGTGCCTGCAGGACTGTTAGGGGAGCCGCTCTGTTCGTGTCGTCTGTCTGATGCATATGGTCAATAGGTGATGATAGACGTTGGTCAGAGCGACTCCCTGGCTCTGCGGGCGGTGAGAGCCAACAGTCTGCGGGGTTCACTCGTGATGTGAGTAGGTGATGTGCCGCTTTGTTCCATATTGGATGTGTAGGCTGCCTTGTCTGCACTCCCCCGCTGCCTTGCTGCCCTTCCCGCTTCCTTCGCATGTCGTTCTTTGCAAGCTGTTGTGTTCACTATATGGTGTGGCTGTGGTGTTGGTGTTGCCTTGTGCCTCGCTGCTCTGCTGCCTTGCTGCCCATCTGCATGCCGTGCCGTCCGCCTCCCCTGCTTGTGTGCCATGAAGTTTGGCTGCCTTGTTGGTGTTGCCTTGTGCTTCGCTGCGCGATTACTGTGCTGCTCGTCGGCTTGCCCTGTCATTCCCAGCAGTCGCTTTTGGGATTGTGCAGTTGTGTTGCGGCAGCGCTGCCTGGTGCTCCACAGGGTTGCTTCCCGGTGCTATGTTCCGCTTGGGGACAGTCTGCCTTCAACATGGGTCGTCAAAGGGTTCATGACCCATAACCATCAATACGGAAGATTCCGTAGATTGTCTAGGGTTCGGTCGGTGCAACTCCAACGAAACACTCTTTCATCATTGGCTTTTTTTTTTTTCTCCCCCCCCCCTTTTTTTTCATAACTAAGCTATATTCTATTAATTTTCTCCCCCCTTTTTTTAATAACTAAGCTATATTCTATATAAGTAAGCTATATTCTGTTATTCTTCTCTCAATATACCTCCCACTACCTACCTATCTAGAAATGATGCACACCTTGATCTACCCTCCAGTGGCAAGCCACACTAATGGTTATGGGTTGAGCCTATCCCCTCAGGGTTGAAACCTAACCCCTGGCAACGGATGGCATTCCCCACCAACCAACGAGGAGGGCCAAGCTGCCTATCTCAGCTGGTCGGCTTTCATTTTTTTGGTTCTTTGTATTTTTTCGGTACTTGTTTTTTCTTTTTTTGGTTTGGCTGTTTTGTGTGCTCGTGTGTCGTGTGCCCGCCCACCTCCCCCGTGCCCTCCACCCTTTGTCCTTTGTTGCGGCTTGTCCTCCTATGCCTTACCGGTTGTCTTCTGTTGTTTTCTTTCTTTGGTCACTGCCTTCTGTCGTTTGTCTGCCCACCCGCCTCCCCCTGTCCCCTTCAGCCTATGTGCCTTGTTGTTCTTTGCTGTCCCCTGCCTTGTTCTTCTTTGTTGTCCCTCGACTTGTTGCTTCTAGCCTAAGTCTTTTCATCGAGTTCATGGGTTATATATAGTAACGATTACTACGGAACCGATGTCTATTGTTGTTGAATCCTTGGGCTGCGCCCTTGACGAGCCAATGCCATGGAGTACACGTCACGTATACGGGAGCGTCATGCATCGTGATCTTTCACATGCTTACACACACGCGCGCGCACACACAGACATTCGTTAGCCACACCTGTGAGAGAGAAGCCTCTGTTTTGGATTCCGGCTGTGATGAAATCCACACTAACTCACCTCCGTAGCTAGCGATTCCTCTGCCGCCTTCGCCACCCCTGATTGGTGCATGATCGCACCAGACTGGGAAACAGGCATGCTTGCAGCAGTGGAGGCACCACTTTGTGTCGGCAATGCAGCAAGTCCCGGGACAGCGGTCATCAACGTAGAGCCAGGAGCCATTGAATGCTGCAGGCTGGGCATGGACAAGCCTCCGGGGTGTAGCATCGGCAACGGATGTGTGGCAGTCTGGGCAACACTGGGTCCATGTGGCATGCCCCCTTGGGTCGAAGACGCCCACCCAACCTGCCGCAACAGTACCACCACAAACACACACATTCGTCAAAACGTTTCAGTTCCCCACATCCGTCCCTTTTCCCTTTCTAGTCCTTCCCATCTCATATCATTTCCAAACCTGTATCAAGAATGTAGGCTCGCTGACATCAACACCTTTTAACAGACAGGAGAAACTCAAAAAGCCAGACAGAATATAATCCGGAACTCGACAAAAAACACACACACTGCGCATGAAATCCATTGAAACATCACTGTCGAAAAAGAAAGGCAGTGATCTTGTGTTCTGTGCTTCGCACCATAACGCGACCTCTTGGAAGCGCCTATCCATCACACGCATTTATCGATCACACGCATTTCACCCTAGATTAGGAAAGCACAGCCTTTCAAGTTTCAAGTACACACAGCCTTGCGATTTTCAAAATAACTTTAAATAAGCTTTTACTTTCTGGTACTTTCCAGTAAGATCGTAGTAGTTTGATTCCCCCCTCTCCCGCCCCGGCCCCCCTGGCAGCGCGCTACGGGTTTCGCCAGCTGAGATAGTCATCTGAACCCCCCTGGTTGGCAGAGGGGCATAGTCCTTTCCACTCATTGCCACGGGTTCGGTTCAACCCTGAGGGGCGTAGTCCCTTCCACTGAGATACTCATCTGAACGCCCCTGGTTGGCTGAGGGGCGTACTTGCCACCGGTTAGGTTCCTAAGGGGATAGGCTTGACGAATAACTCTTAAGGGCACTCCAGCACCGGTGCATAGATGTGGATAGATGTTTTGTCGTGTGGGGTTAGGTCGTGTGAGGTATACCTCGGAGTCGAATATAGCTTAGTGTTTTGAACTGTTTTCTTTTTCTTTTTTCTCTTTTTTAATTATTATTAATTAACTGTGGCGTGTGGTCCCTACGCCACAATGGAGGCAAGCATTTGGGTGTGTTTATGATATGTATTACGTACCAATAAAAAGGATGCTGCACCCAGTTTCTCAAACCGCATCATTGTCCCGTCATCACCCGCATTATGCTCTATTTTTCTAATCTACTCTCTCACTTGACCCATCCTATATCACTTTTCTCAGCTTTCTCCGCGGTAAATAAATTGGTCGGAACGTATCCGCCAGACCACCATGTCCAGGATCATTCTATAAGGGCATGGTATAGAGGCCCTCACAGCGGCACTGTAGACTTTAGGCTCGCGGAAATGGAGTGGTGGCTTAAGTTTTGGTTTGTTCATGCTTTATGAAACCTAACTGTAAATCGTCTGATACACCACGGTAAATAAATTGGTCGATCCACTCCGGCGGCATCCATATATCTACATCTTGTCATCTACTAAATTTATGAACTCCGACAATGCCTATTCGCAGGACATACCTTGAGCTGACGGCCACCCAACTCGAACCCATTCATGCTGTCAATTGCAGCTTTTGCCGCTTCATGTGAGTCAAATCTGCAAGAAGCATTAGCAAGAAGAATAAAGGACGGTTCCGTGAGAACAAGAAAATGCTGACCTTGAACGGTTTGCAGCAAGTGCTTTGCCTTCACAAGGAGAGCTCAAGCTAAGTAAAATAGTAAAAAAAAAACACTAATGCAAAGTTGCAAACTGACACCTGACCGCCAGCACATCAGGAATGTCACAAGTTCTACCGAGGGTAGGAAACGAAAGAGTTGCACTTACTCGACAAAACCATAGCCTTTGTGGCGGCCCGTTTCAGGATTTGGTATAAGCTGGCATGACTGTCGCACAAGAGAAACAAAAAGAGGACAAAGACATCCGATAATTACATCACTGTTTCAGTCTTCCTCATACAGAAGTTTGTTCCCCTCAGCACCCTCTCTCTCTCTCTCTCTCTCTCTCTCTCTCTCGTTCCCCCATCACGCCTTCCTCCTTCACTCCCCTGGAACAGGACCTTCAATTTGAAAAGCTCAAACAATTAACCTGCCCAGACCTAAATTGGCAGAGATACCAGCACACACACACATACACAGAGATAGAGATAGATAGATAGATAGATAGATAGATAGATAGATAGATAGATAGATAGATAGATAGATAGATAGATAGAGAGAGAGAGAGAGAGAGAGAG